TCTCCGCGCTGCACGTCGCCACCGGCCTCTGCAGCCACAAGGGTCCCGGCAACACTCCGTGGAGGCCGAGCAGCGGCGAGAGGAGGAGGGTGCCCTTCCTCAATCGGTGGAGCATCAAGGACGCGCGCGCGTGGTTCGCCGCGCCGCCGCCCTCGGCCGACGTGCCGTGCTGCGCCTCGGAGCCCAACGACGCGTGCACCCCTGCGGCGGCGGCCCAGTGGCTCCAGTTCGCCGAGTGGTACCAGTGGCCACACGTCACCTACTTTGACTCGCCCCAGGAGCTGCACGCCAAGGTGGAGCAGCTTCTCCGCGACGAGAGCGCCCGGCGCACCATATCAGACGGCGCAAAGGCATTCTTCGCCGCCGAGCGAGAGCGGACCGCGGGGCACGTGCGTGCGGCGCTCCAGAGGTCGCTGCGTGTGGCGCCCGCGCGGGCAGCCCCGAGGGAGCGAGAGGGCGTGCCGGTGGAGGCGGAGGCGCCACGGCACTTGCAGCAGCCGCCCGCCGGCCGCGACGTGCGGCCCCGCCGAAACGAGGAGGGGGCAGCTGCAGGGGCCGCGGGCGTGCCAGACTACCTCGTCGGGCCGTTCGCCTTCAACAACGCGTGCGTCTCCTTCTACGCCGACCGGGCGTCACAGCTCCGTCCGTCCGTCACCTCCGAGGCGGGCGACTCGGCCATGCTGCACGGCTTCAGCGAGTACACCCTTGGCTACCAGCGCGTGCTCAAGGTGCGGCCGGCGGAGGCCACCGACCAGCTGCGCCGCTGCGAGCGGAGGTCGCTCGGCGTGCTCGTGCCCTTCTCCTGCAACAACGTGTACCACATGGCCTTCCACGCCGTCCCGAGCTTCGAGCACTTCCTCACCCTCCGCCCGGCCGCGGCGCCGCCCACCTTTGTGCCGCTGGTCTACCCGACCGCCGCCGTCGGGCGCAAGTTAAGTGCCGACCCGCGCCGGTGGCACGCGTGGGAGTGGGCTCTGCGCGCGATGACACCGCGCGCCGAGGTCGCCGCCGACGTGCGAGCTCTCCTCAACGCGCCTTGCACCTGCTTCGCCACGCTGACTGGCACGACCGCCCCCTTCCACCCGGCCGCGCCGGCGTCGCGGCCGCGCGTCGGCGCGTTCCGCGCGGCGGCGCTCCGCAGCATCGGGCGGCTGCTGGGCGCGCCGCCGCCCGCGCCGGAACGGCCGCCCCTGCTTTGGGTGCGCCGCTCGCCTCTCTACCTGAACGTTGGCGAGTCGACGCCACGGCGCGGGCTGACGAACGAGGGTGCGCTGCTGGACGCGCTGCGCCGCGCCGGGTTGGGCGACGCGCTGCGGCCGACGACGCTCGAGGCGCTTCCGGTCGCCGCGCAGGCGCGCGAGGTTGCGGCGGCGGCAGGGCTCGTCGCGGTGCACGGCCAGGCGCTGGCGTGGGTGCTATTCTTGCCGTGGGCCGAGCGCCGCACCGCCGCCGTCGAGCTGAGGCCTCGCGGCGCCAAAGCGAACATCTACGAGGCGCTCTCCGCCGCGCTCGGCGTGAGGTACGAGCGCGTC